CCTGTGTTACACTCTGATATTGTACAGTGTATGTGTGAACTTAAAGCAATACACTTATGTGTCAGGTTTTTATGTTTCTTACAACTGACTAAATTATCATCCTTAAGTATATCGGTTTATTCCTTTTTTTTAAAGTCAGCAATTCTTCTGTCTCCTTTAGTACTCACATCTTTAACTCTGATCGATCTAGGGATCTTGCGTGACCCCATATATATTCTGTGCGGTCCACAACTTTTTGCATTACTGCTAATTATTCTATTACCCTTGGATTGGAATTGTCGATTCCATCTATCTATGTGTGTACTAACTAATGTGGTATGACAAGTTGAACTGATGTACATGTGTAACAAGTTCTACATTGTAACTGATTTATTGGCTGACTGACTAAGTGACTAACTGGTTGACTTCCGTACTGACATGCTGACGTTTCATGTTTCAGTTGTTTTCTTGTTTTTTCTCATTGTTTAGTTACAAAATTTAGATGATATGTGGACATACGGTGGAGAATATCGTGCAGTAGCTGAAAATTCTTAGGGTCAGCAGATTGTCGAACTTATGTTCTCATGGATACACCACTTCGTCTACGTCCTATGGATGTTGGTAAACAGCTATCGCTGGTCGAGCTTATACACTGAAATGTTATTTTATTGGAAGTGGTATACCAACAGTAAGTGAATTTAAATGACTTTGATGTGTATAGATGCACTATCGATTTACTGATACTATTGATATAAAATTCCTCCTGGTTAGCGTTTTTTTTAGCGAGCTAGTTTTCTTACGGGATTGGGTCGCCGAACCCCACGTCCCACCCTCCCCACTTATCCGGGCTTGGGATCAGAATTAACCCCAGAGGGGCTCCTAGCGGAGTTATCTATATGAAAACGTTAGGAAGCTGTTTTATCCTTGTACATGGGCTCCTCGGCAGTGAGTATCAACAACAACTCCTTCCTACTCGAAGAAAAATGTCATATACATTGGATCCGTAATTGTTAATCAACATATCATGTGACAAGTACACAAAAAAAAACCAATCAGAATTACGTTTAGCACCTGTAGCCTTGAGTCATCTCTAAATTCTTATTGGTCCACAGATCGATAGTTAATTTCTTTCTACCCTTGCCTCCTAGGCCTAGAAGTCTGTAAGTTAGTTAGCCTCCACGTAGTTCTGTTATATTGTCAAGTAGACATAGTTTATTTCACAAAATATACCGAGATCACATCACATCATAGAATGAGACTCCTCTAGAATCTTTGAATGGTAAATTGGCAAACGATGAGCAATAATAAATCACAAAACAATGCCTAATAGGTTAATCTACTTATTGAATAATTATGGGAATAAGGTTATACACAATAATTAATCCATAAGCCCAGTCCTCGCGTGCTGTTACAGGTATGAGGGGGCGGTTGTCACTACCCGTCTGCCCACACTGTGGAAGGATATTTCTTGAGAAACTTGAAAAGGAGGCTAGATTAACGTTGGTCTCAGAAACCTGAGGGTGTGACCACAGAGCCCAAAGGACAACTGCTATGAGGCCAGTCACGCACGGCCTTTTTATGAAAGTTTTTTTGAATATTAGCTCCGCTCTTTTAAAGCTCTTATTGGGTAGCTGACCAAATATAATAAATATGCATTATGGGGTTGAAGAGATTGTTGAGTTACTTTTTAAAATCAGGAATCGATTAATATTAGGCCACCTCCATTTGAAACCTGGAACCACTGGACAAAAGTTTCGTGTTGGTATAGGACTCATCAGTGGCAGTGCGCATCCACGATAATTTTTCATAATCGCAGGATTCGAAACTAGGATTCCCTGGTCTTGAACTCGGACGCTTAACTTATGGATCACTGAGCCGGTATCTAACGTTCGCGTACAAAACTGAAGGTCCTAGGTTCAAATCGTGCGATTGACAGGAGTCGTGGATGCGCACTACTGCTAATGAGTTCCATATCAGGTCGAAACAGTCGTCTTTCAGTGTGCTTCCAGGTTTTTTTGAACGTTGGTCTAACATGGATAATAATAACACGAACTCACTCCTTTACCCATTGAAAAAATTGTTTTATACTCTTCATATAACTTAGCTTCAATGGCATCGTATAAAAAATGGTCGTGATATACGTCGTATACCAGTAGATCATCGGCATCAACTGCTAGAAAATGGACGTGTACTGCGAATAACTGAAGTTAACCAAGAAGAAGATGAAGCTGATTATCGTTGTACCGCGAGTTTAGGTGATGCGACAGTGAATACTACTGTATCATTGAAAGTTTCACGTAAGTAACAGTTAATCTATTTGTGTATATGCATATACATATATATTTATGACCTTAAGTTAGTTAGTTAGTTAGTTGCAACGTAGAGAACTTCGTACGTGTGTACATAAGTTCATGTTGCCATACCACATGAGCGCAGAGACACAAATGTCAAATTAAATCCCAAAGCGATAAAGATAGTAAAGGTATTAATGGTAATGAAGAAGACTAGGGTTTGAAGATATTATTCAAGAAGTATAATTCAGTGAGATAAGTTTAGAAAGACAAAGGTAGAGGTGCTGACGAATCCAGAAGATTAGGATTTGAGAGAGCTCACCCAACGACTGGATGCACTTGCGTCATTGCAAACGATTTTGAACCATGTCTTTCATGGTCTCTAACCATCAGTGACTTTCGTCTCTTGAACCCCAACCAGGTAGCCTACAACTACCGACATGACTCAGTCCACTAGTCAGTGACTTCGTGGATTTCTGCCATGTTTTGGTCTGGCCGCCCCTAGCTATGTGATTAATTGGTACTACACATGATCTTAACTCAGAGAGCCGAGAAGCGATGATGGTTAGTGACCCTTGAATGATGATTGGCTCAAAACCGTTTGCAATGGCGCCGATGCATTTGTGTTCTTTGTGTTCTCTCAAATCCTAATCTTCTGGATTCTTGAACATCCCCTAGTTTTGTATTTCTAAACCTCATCTCACTGAATCTTGAATAATATCTTCTAATCCTAACCTCTCCGATTACTCCTAATACCTTTACTACCTCTTCTACTATTGGATTTGAATTGACAATTATATCTCTGCGCTGATGTGGTATGGCAACATGAACTGATGTACTTACATACGAAGTTCTACGTTGCATCTGACTGACTGACTAATTGGTAACGGGTTTGCGTGTGTGTGTGTGTGTGTGTGTGTGCGGTCAGCAGTATTCTATTTATAGCTTGTAATTATCATAGAATTTATCATTGAAACGGTACTAGATAGTTAGTTAGCTTTATTGAAACAGTTTTGTCGTCATTGTTGACATAGTACTGATATCCTCGAAATGAATCATGTTACGGATTGTTGTATCATTAAAACACACATTCAATGATTCAATCTAAAATATCAATCAACCAGTCAGTTAAACAACAACGTGGAGCTTCGTACCTACGTACATGAATTCAAGTCGCCATATTACATTAGCACAATGATTTATTTGTCAATTCAAATCCCATAATAGTAGTAAAGGTAGTAAAGGTATTAGCAGTAATCGGAGGGATTAGGGTTTCTTTGATGAGTTTGAATAGTTGGCTACTATTGTCTATCGCCACTGTCTATTCTATCTCTCTCGCTTTCGCTACCCACCACTGTTCACGATTACTGAGTAGGCTTTTTATCAGCCTGCGCCTAAGCTGACTCCGCCCCTCATCGCACTCAGAGCCAGGCGGGATGGATTTTCGAGCATCCATCAGTAGTTGCGTAGATGCTACTGAAATCCACGGCTTCTTCCTAGACTTATGGTTCACCTTGCCAACAGATATCACAGCTGTTTACACAGCTTTTTTGATATCTGTCTAAGCTGCCTCAGGGTGGGCATCACTTACTACATGGCTGCCCGAAGTGTTTTTCTAATTGTTCGTGAAATATATTCTTAGCTTTATTATCATTAAGTAGAGCTGTGACACCATACGATCTATCCAGGTGTCTTTCCTTTTCACTTAGTCTACCTACTTGATCAATAAAGTCACTAGCGATTATTACTATATCAGAGAGCTTAAATTTTTTGAAGAAGTTTAGAATCTCAAATGTGAAACTGGTCGATTCGATCCATAGGGTGATTGATTGTGTATGTACACTAAAACGAAATTACATGTCTACTATTTCTTAATTTTCAGTAGTGTATATGTCAACTGATATCAAGTACAGATATTTAGGTAACGATCAACCGCCTGTAAAAGTGTGATGCTCGTCAATTGATATTCTTGAACTATTACGAGTTCACTTTAGTCGGTGAATGAGAGCAAAGACAAATGATCCAGTGACCCCATAGGCTACTCTAATCCGAGCGTCTCAAGCCCCCACCAAGTAGAAGAAGAAGTCTTGACAAGATGTAGAAAGTATATTCTACAAGCACCCAGCAAATATGAGGTCGGCAAACACACAAATCGAGTTTATTTATACATCATAGAAACGGCCTTAGGAGAGCCACAAAAAATAGCATACTAAAATAAAACACATCAACCAATAACAGCCAAGGCTTTTCCCGATGGGAAATATAATCCCAAGGTCAACTGATCAGCACATGAATAAAATCCAAAAATTAGACCTTTTTCAAGTGAGTTCTGAGGATCTAAGCTCCCTAACAAAAGTTTAGTTCATCGATGATGATCTGATTTTGGTTGATTTTTATGTTACAGTGTAATGATGACCACTAATTTGGTCGAAATAATTCAATTTGAAACGTTTGAACTTTATTATCAAGTGATAATTGAAAAAAAAGTCAACGCAGTTTATCATCATCAGTATGACCTTTTGATCGCTAGCCGATTGAATTTTTTTTAAAATGGTTTTTATTCTTTATGTGTGTGTGTAAAACTGTCAATATTTGACCTCTCTCATCTGAAAGACTATTTTTATGTTCAAACGACTTACGTCATGTATGTATGTATGTTTGTATGTTTAGGAAGCCATTTAGAAAATCACAAAAAACGGCAACAAACTATTTGATAACTTTGTTTCAGAGATCAATCATTATTAGACATTGTTCTTGGGTGTCATTGAACTGCGATCAGTCATTCAGTCAGTCAGTTACAAAGTAGAACTTCGTACGTGTACGTACATCATCAGTTCAGGTTGCTATACCACACCAGCACATAGACGCAACTGTCAGTTCAAATCCCATAATGGTAGAGATAGATAGTAGAATTATAAATGGTCATGTAGAAGAGTAGGGTTCAAAGATATTATTCGAGAAGTATAATTCAGTGAGATAACTTTAGAACCAATAAACGGATCATCCTACCATACATCAAAGACATATCAGAGCATACAGCACGACTACTGAAACCATTTGGAATAGGTGTGGCACACAAACCAACAGAATCACTTCAATCAATCCTATGTAGACCAAAGGACAAAATGACAAAGGAAGAAAAACCAAATATCATCTACAAATAAATTGTTCACATTGTGAAAACAATACGGAGGACAAAATGGACGTCCACTTCAGCTTCGTTTACGTGAACACCAATTAGCAGTCAAACGCCACGACAACTCTTCGTTTATATCAATACATACCGACAATTATGGACACACATTTGATTGGAACAATGTGGAAATACTGGGTAGGGGGAGGACAAAGAACACTGGAAAATTTTTAGAAGCTTGGCACTCAGATCAATCAGCAATCAATAAACACATCGACATTGACCCAATTTATCAACCAATCAGAAGAATCATATGTGACATAGGATCAAGAAACAGATCAAAAAGGAGATACAATCAAACAACCACAGGTTTAAGGTCAACAGCAACCAATCAAGATCGAGTTTAGTAGAACAAGCCACAGGTCAAACGTGGAGAAATTCGAATACTTCACTTGTCTATCTGAAGTTTGTGCTGATGATGTTGTTCAGAAGAACAATGAAAGCTCCACAACCACAACCAACCAGCCCAGATAACGAAACACCACCACAATCATCCACCTGAGCTACAAGTTTTCTCCAACATCTCAAAATCAAATTTTACCATGTGACAGCTGATTAGAATTTATTTTTAACTTGACTACAAGTTCAGTAAGTGATTAAGAGTTCCCCAACATCACTGGATTATCTCTCAAAAGTTGCCGATAAAAAGTAATCACGGTTAAACATTAAATATCAACTCAGTGGATTATCATTATTGTATCGTGAGGATTTGTTGATGTCAGGACACGTAAGAGGTCCATGATCTTAACGCAATACGCGTTAATCACCCACTTCAAGTTGACTAATTCAGTGAGAAGACAAGAAATAGAACAGGAAAGTCTATTGGTTAGCAAATACAATACATAAATATTCGTCCTTTTCCTAAGAAAACAACTTCATTTCTTGACCAATAAATATACATTTCTTCTGTGGGACATTTCCGTAGGTCATCAAGTGACCAGCTCGTTTGGTAACTTCTGATTCGTTCTCTGAAACAGTTTTTACTGAACAAACTTATACGTTCTCTATGATGTCAGTCAGTTACAACGTAGTACTTCGTACTTAAACACATCAGAACGAAACACCACCAAAATTTGATTTAATCAAAAAAACTGCCTCCTCCTCCTCCTCTTCCTCGGCCATCGTGAAACTTCAAGATTAGTTAATTTCAGTGTATTCAATTCGTCTATGCATTAATGATATTCTAGTTGTGTGATTTTCACTCTTATTCTTATGTTTTTTTTCTAAAAAAGATGCTCCACGTCTATTTGAATTACCACAAACACGACAAGTGAAAGATGGACATGATATGCTGTCGTATAGTTGTGCATTACAAAATCGTGCAGATAAACCATGGTATGCATGGTGGGAATTTCAACGTGAAGGTACCAATGCCATAGTACCATTGCCTCCGTTTAAAAAGAATGCCTATGATGGTTTTTCAGTTTCTGTAAGTTTTTCCGCTTTTTTTCAGTTAGACGTTTTGGAGATTTGTGTTTTTTTACACATTTGAAATCATCAATCAATCATTGTTAGACCAACACCATTAGGAACCTGGAAGCACTGAGAGACGGCCGTTTTGTCCTGGTATTTGGGACTCATCAGTGGCAGTGCGCATCCACGACTCCTGCACCTTGCAGGATTCGAACCCGGGACCTTCGGTATTGTGCACGAACGCCTAACCATCGGACCACTGGGCTGGCGCCATCCAACGGTGGTAATGGCTAACTCTGATTGATCTTTTTTACTAAAAAAAACAAGTTTGTGAGTTTTCATGTGCGTGTGTATTTTAGTGTTAGACGTTGAATGATGTTGCATTGTTCTATCGTGAACTGCTTACTTGTCAACTAAGATGTAATTATTTGCAGTTGACGAGTTTTCTAGTTGGATGAAAGTTATTTTGGTTGATTTCACTTGCTTGCCTTACCTACTTACTTAACGTCTGTTACCCACACTGTGGAGCATAGGCCGCCGAGCAGCATTCTTCTAGTCAACCAACTCTATCCTTAGACGTCTTTTCTAGTTCATTCTTCTAATGTCTGTCTGTATTTCTCAGCATAATGTGTTCTATGATCTTCCCTATTTTTCCTTTGACTTTGAGGGTTCCAAGTGAGGGCTTGTCTTGTAACTCAGTTGGGTGATTTCCGCAATCTGTTTCTTATTCAATTGCAGCGCTTCTTCCGGATTTCTTTCCCTTCTGGAATCTGGTTTGTTCTCTTCCACAGTAGGTTTGTTGCTGATGATGTCTGGCCAGCGGTTAATAAATACTAATATTTTGTGGACGATAGGCGTCGTAGTTCTCCAGGTTTCCGCCCAGTTGATTTCACCAATCAAATCAATCAATAGCAACGTAGAACTTCGTACGTACGTACATCAGTTCAAGTTGCCATACCACATTAGCACAGAGATGTAATTGTCACTTCAAATCCAAGAGTGATAGCGATAGTAGAATTATTAGCAGTAATGAAGAAGATTAGGCTTTGAATATATGATTCGAGAAGTATAATGCAGTGAGATAACTTTAGAAAGAGAAAGATAGAGGGATGAGGAATTCAGGTTAGAATCTGAGAGAACACAAAGAGTGGATTCACGTTCACCAGTGCAAACAATTTTGAACCATGTCGTTCAAGGTCTCTAACCATTGGTGTCTTTCGTCTCGCGGACTCTAACCAGGTAGCCTACATCTGCTAAGATGACTCAGTCCAACTGCCAGTAACATCATGGATTTCTGCCATGTTTTTGGTTTGTCCGCCCCTAGATTCCTTTCAACCTACTCCTACACCACCAAACATAGCTCGATGAGGCAGTCGGTGGTTAGCCATACGTAACACATGTCCTAACCACCTCAACTGATGCAGTTTCAATGCTTCATCTATTAATTTGCTATCCCTACCTTGAACTGGTTTTCTAACGACAGCGTTGCTTATACGGTTGTCCCAGGATACACGAGTAATGCTTCGGATGCACCTATGATCGAATACTAGTAACCTACGAATATTCTCTACTCTTAACTGCCATGTTCCTCATCCGTATAGTAGAACAAAGCGAACTATTGCACAGTACACTCGTCCTTTGATTAGCAAGCGGATATCTTGCCTGCGACATAGGTGATTTAAGTTGGCTACCAGCTAGGAAGTATGTAGTGAAACTCCTACGACATATCTTTGTTCGACATGATGGAGATACAATCAAACTAAAGAGACAAATAGCTACAGTTTAGTTGGTTAACTAAACTATTAGCAAATCCAATGAATATTGCTTGATCTTTGATCTGTGAAAACTCATTCATTCTTTATACATATTTGTGAACTCATCTATAACACTTTGATTAGAGATTGATTGTATTGTGGAGTAAATAGTAAGTATCATAGGGAGTGGTAGTAGTACAAAATTGATGTTACATTTAGACTATTTCGAGTTGATATTCAACTTTTAGTTATCATACGTTTTTATGTTTTGTTTGTGAACGTGTAAAACAATTTTATGCTACAATTAATCTTACTACATGCATATATCATAATAATGAGTATTATTATTATTTGGCCTTTGACCTTAAATTAACCAAATTTAATACTTGACACAACAGAAGAAAATTATATCACAACACAATACAACATAACACTAACAACGTCACAACACATCACATGAGAAACCAAGTTGATAAACGAGCTAGAGAGAGAGAGAGAGAGAGCATTAGTTTATCAGAGTGATTGACTTGTTGTATTATAATTTTGATTAACAATCTTGATGGTGTATTTGTGGTGCGAGCTACTTATAAGTAGTATATGACGTGATTGTCAACGTAATGTCTGGTGGCAGCAGAAGATGGGGGAAGATCAAGAAAACAAAAGAGTTAGAACATAATGGAATTTGTATGAAACGCATGAATAGTGACAATGGATTGATGTTTTGCAACAGGAACAGTCCAGTTTGATATAATGGATTGATATTTTGCAAATGAACGATTTACGATACGGTTTTCCTATTTTACTGAGTAACTCCGTAATTTTCGTTACATAAATCCGGTAGCCCCACCTGTGTTCTCGTTCACTACAGTGATAGGGAGTGAAGTAGTTGAGCATCTGTTGACCGTTTCACTTCTCTTGGGAGTCTCTTATCAGTGCTGGATAGTCTGATGACTGACGAAATTTCAGCACAGATACAGAAGGCTCGATTGGTTTTTGCCAAGTTGCGTCATTGATGGTTTAGGCAAGATATCCGTGTGTTGGTTAAAGGACGAGTCTACTGCTTAGCAGTTCGCTTGATCCTACAATATGGGTATGAAGCATGGCCAGTAAAAGTAGACGATATTCATAGGCTATTAGTATTCACTCTTCAATGTATTCGAAGCATTGCTCATATTATCCTGGAACCATCGAATAAACAACGTAGAGTGTAGTGTAAACAGGCACTAGATAAGGATGGGAACTTACTTGATGAAGTAGTGGATATCTATTAGTTAAAGTGGTTGCAATAGAGGTGTTAAGTGTGTCCAATTACCATTTACCTAGATAAGCTTTGAATGATATGGCGCATGGTGGAGGGGGCTTAAGTGACCTTACCCTGTAGAAAGCCAACTGACTAAAAAGAAAATTTCTAACCAGACACACAGATAGACAGACAAATACATCACAGAACTTCGTAAATAAGTACATCAGTTCAGGTTGCCATACCACAACAGCACAGAGACGCAACTGTCAGTTCAAATCCAAGAGCGATAGCAATAATCAAAGTATTAGCAGTAATGCAGAAGATTGGGGAGCGAAAATGTGATTCGAGAAGTATAATTCAGTGAGATAAATTGTGAAAGAGAAAGATGGAGATGAGGAATTCAGAAGGTTAGAATTAGAGAGAACACAAAGAGTGGATGCACTTGCGCCAATGCAAAGGATTCTGAGCCATGTCGTTCAAGGTCTCTAACCATCGGTGACTTTCGTCTCGCGGACCTCAACCATATAGCCTACATCTACCAACATGACTCAATCCACTTGTCAGTGACTTCATGCATTTCTGCCATGTTTTGGCCTGGCCACCCCAAACTTTCTTCCAACCTACTCCTACACCACAAAACGTAGCTCGTCGAGGCAGTCGGTGATTTGACATTCGTAACATATGTCCCAGCCACCTCAACTGATGAAGTCTCACTACTTCATCTATTGATTTGCCATCCCTACCTAGAACTCGCTAAGCAAGACAAAAAAAGAATAATTTAGACTTGATATTCTCTAACTTGTACACTAAGTCTGCCAATTTTGTTGTTGTTGTTGTGTTTACAGTATGTGGTTTCAGAGAATGATGCTACACCGTGGCGTTTACCGGATAGTTTACGTGATCGTATTCCATCATTTGTACACACTGAACCAAATTCCGCTGTACATGTTAGTGTCAATGAATTACGCAAAGATCAACATCATGGCAATTTAACATGTGTTGTTATGAATGAAGTTGGCGTTGATCGGCAATCAATTCGTGTCACTTTTATACGTAAGTTGATCTGCATAATTCAATGATGTACTTTTCGTTTCGTTTTGTTTCGTTTCATGTTAATTTTTAGTGCAATTGAATTTGGTACACATTAATTATGACTCATTGAAAGCATGAACTTGATCGTTGTTTGGAAATGTGAATTGAACTCAGGACCTCTGGTTTCGTTCGCGAATGCATACATTTTTGACCACTGAGATAAGAGAGATGTTAGGAGCTATAGGAAGGATTTGATTGTGAACAATTTGGTCTCGTGTGCTTTTACGGGCGTATGTCACTCCCTGGCTGCCCACACTGTGGAAGGGTGTTTCTTGAGGAACCTGAAAATGAAGGTAGATTAGTGTTGATCTTATAGACCTGAGAGTGTGATCAGAGGTCCCAAGGGACAATTGCTTGAGGCCGGTAGCGCATGGGAAGTTTGTAATGTGTTAGCTCCACTCTTCCACAACACCTTACCACCGGAGGTGCAAACCCGTTGGGCAAGCTGAAGTGTGACACTTTCTAACCCCTTTCTTCCTTGGTTGGTTATTCGACGGAAACACCTTACTGCTATCACACCCCTCTACTGTGAGCAGTACGACTTCGGCCTCAGACCTTGAATTGTTGCTTTTAGTCTCACCGTTCTCCGATCGATCTGCCTGGCTTGAGGAATGAGCTAAATGGATATAGCTCGCGGTCGGGTCATCATGAACGGCAAGCCCGACTACCACGTTAAGGTAGCACCTACGGTTGTCCAATACTTCGAGGTTTCTAATGGTGATGTAACACTGATTGATTCATGATTTCAGGAATAATCTGTGATCAGCATTTGTTTTGTGGCAAACTTGATTTTAAGAGGATGGAGTTGCTAATCCCATTTGTAACTCTTCTTCTATTCTATTCGTTTGGGATCACTAATGCCCCTAAATGTCCTGGTGCAGTCGAGAATGAGGGTAGTTCACTCTTCGTCTCGAATTACTCAAAGCCACTGACAGACAAGTCCTACTCACTCACTCAGTCAGTCAGATGCAACGTGGCTGGCTGAGAAGACATAAATGAATTTTTGGTTGCTTTGACTTGGGTTGGTAAGTACGGAGGATTCATTCCGATGGTCGAAAAATCCTACACCAATGGTGCACATCAACTTCTGGGTGCTGATGGAATAAAAGACGTATAAACCTATTGATCGACACCGGCTACCTTGTGTTGTTCCGCTGTCTCCTGTGGATTATTAGACTTGTAGTGGAAAGAATCAGGAAGTGACCCTTTAAGAAAACAAAACTGCTCCCGCTTTTGAGCAACTGGACCTCATTAGTATCTTTTGGGGACGTTAGGTCCCCAGGAATCACTTAATAAACGTCCTAATCATGCATTTTATTCATGGGCTGATCAGTTGACCTTGAGGTAACATTTCCCTCCAGGAAAATCCTTGACTGTTATTGGTGGATGTATTGCTTTAGTGGCTCTCCCAAGCATGTTTCTCTCATGTATAAATAAACTCGATTTGTGTGCTTGTCAACCTCAAACCTTATATTTTCTGGGTGCTTGTAGCATAAACTTTCTACACCACATCAAGACTTTTTCTTAAATTAAATGAGGCAACGGACCAGAGTCGCCTATCGTGTCACTGGTTCATTGTCTCGTTCTCGTTTATCGACTAAGGTGAGTGAACTGGTAATAGTTTCATGCATAACAGAGTATCCTAACCGACAAAGTAGAAATCCAATAATTAGAGTATAGCGCATATTTAATTTCGATATCTTCTCAATTACCAACATTTATGTTTAAATCAATAAATTCATCAATATGAGGCTCATAGTGTGGTGTGAGCTACTTATAAGTAGTATATGACGTGAGTGTCAACGTAATGTCTGGCAGCAGAAGATGGGGGAAGATCAAGAAAACAAAAGAGTTAGAACACAATGGAATTTGTATGAAACGCATGAATAGTGACAATGGATTGATGTTTTGCAACAGGAACAACAGTCAAGTTCGATTTGATGATGGACTGATATTTTGCAAATTAACGATTTACGATATGGTTTTCCAATTTTACTGAGTAACTCTGTAATTTTCGTTAAATACAATTCGGTTGCCCTACCTGTGTTCTCATTCACTACAATAGTAGTAACCTTTCAGAGAAAAAATACCCTCAATCAGACTTAACTAGTCATCTTCTCTATACGTACTATATTTACAGATAACTTATTACTACTTGTTATTATTATCATGATTTATGTAGCTGAATTGGAATTCGCAATTCGACCACCGAATAATCAAGATGTCACACTTGGACAAACCATATCCATTGATTGTGCTGCCAAACCATCTGATTTACAACCAATTGTTGAATGGAAATATTTACAGAAAAGTAAGTGTATTTAGCCATAGTTTATAAGTTTGTGTATGCGTCTACGTGTTATGAGTTTGTTGTGCATGCACGTAAACACGCCAATTTGATATGCTTGAACTATGACGAGTTTACCTTAGTCGGAAAACGGGAGTGAAGATCCGGCGACACAACATGCTACTACTCTAATCCGAGTGTTCCAACTTCCACTAAGTAAAAGAAGAAGACTTGATAAGAAGTAGAACATGTATTCTACAAACATCCAGAAAGTACTTGTGTTATGATATTCATCCAATATCCTAAGAGAATTATTGGTCTATTCCTACTGGTCAATTTTATGGTCGTCCTAGATATCAATGTCACGTGCTCCAATGTTGTTTCTTTCCTGACTATCAATGTCACTTTAAATGTTGCTTCCTATTGGTCGTCTTAACTGTTAATGTCACAGAATTGGATGCTGTTTCCTATTCGACCAAAATGTATAAATACGAATTATGAGTGACGTTTTATGACCAGGACCCAGTCCCGGATCCGTAGTCCAGGATCCTAACTCTCTTCTGGACTCGGACCTCGTACTTTCTGAATGCTTGTAGAATAGAGGTTCTACTCCACACTCAAGTCTTCTTATTTTTACTCAATATGGGGGTTGGGATAATCGGATTGGAGTCCCTGGAACCTCGATCCTCGCTCTCGTATTCCGACTAAGGTATACTCGTTATAGTTCATGTATATCAAGTTGACATGTGTTGTGCAGGCGTAACAACTAGGTCCGAGTCCAGAAGAGAATCATAATCCCAGACTAGGGATCCGGGTCCGGGTCGTAAAACGTTACACATAATGCGTATTTATACATTTAGGTCGAATAGGAAACAACATTGATAGCTAGGACAATCATAATATTGACCAGTAGGAATTGACCAATAGAATTAGACTTACAAAAATAATTCTCTTAGGCTATTTTAATGAATATCCCCTAACAGAGTTATACATTGTCTATGGGGATTCGTTCTCTGCATAAATTGTGCAGTCATCATCCTAATTATTGATTAGTTCATTGATGATAAAAAGGATACCAGTAAGACTGGTATCCTTCTATGTACCGAGTGTGAGATACACTGACTAATGAGTGATATTCACTAATGTAACAGAAATCGATCCTATGGGGCCTCTCAGTAGCCAAAACAGAAGTTACAGATAGCAACCCGAATTAGTTCTTTATTTTATATTCAATTAAAACAGATTTGCTTGAAATTTCTGATCAATGTGTAACAGTATTGAGCAGGAAATTTATACTTTTACAAACAACTTTACTTACTTACTTACGTCTGTTACCCCCAACAGAGCATAGGCCGCACACCAGTTTTCTCCAACCAACTCTGTCCTGAACTTCCCTTTCTAGTTCTTTCCAGCTTTTGTTCATTCTTCTCATGTCTTTCTCTATTTCTCGGTGTAATGTGTTCCTTGGCCTTCCTCTTTTCCTTTTGCCTTGAGGGTTCCATGTGAGGGCTTGTCTTGTGATGCACTCAGATGCTTTTCGCAGCGTGTGTCCTATCCATTTCGACCACTTCTACCTGATTTCCTCCTCCACTGGAATCTGGTTTGTTCTCTCCCACAGTACGTTGTTGCTGATGGTGTCTGGCCAACGAATCCGAAGTATTTTGCGTAGACAGCTGTTAATAAACACTTGTATCTTGTGGATGATGCCTTTCGTAGTTCTCCAAGTTTCCGCTCCATACAGTAGAACTGTCTTGACATTTGTATTGAAAATGCTGATTTTGGTTTTGGTTGAAAGTTGTTTGGAGTTCCAGATATTTTTCAACTGTAGAAATGCAGCCCTTGCTTTACCAATCTGCGCTCTCACATCTGCATCGGATCCAGCTTGATTGTCGATGATGCTGCCAAGATATGTAAATGTGTTAACGTCTTCCAAGGCATCTCCATCAAGAGTGATTTGTTTAGTGCATGTTGTGTTGCATCGGAGAATTTCGCTTTTTACTTTTATGTATGTTGAGACCTATTGCTGCAGAAGCTGCTGCTACAAACAAGCATCAGTATTATTCAGTAGAAAGTGACACAATAGTAACCTCATTGTTGGGGAGGGGAGTGTTGAATTATACTTCGAGGAAAGAATTTATAGGCCCAGTAAAAAAACACACAAGGAAACATTTCGTTCAATTAGCAAATAATGAACAGAATCCTCGCAGAAGCATCTTGAAAATACTGTGACAACTGGATTGAGTCATGTTGATGGTAGGTGTCAACTACCTGGTTGGTGCCCGCGAGATGATTGATAGTAATGGATGGTTGGAGACCCGGAATGACATGTCTGAAAATCGTTTGCAATGACGTAGGTGCATCCACTCTTTGTGTTCTCTCAAATCCTAACCTTCAGAGTTCCTCATCACCTTTATCACTAGACTCTACTTCTTGAATAACATCTTCGAACCCTAATCGCGCTGATTACAGCTAATACTTCTCACTAACTCTACTACTATGGGATATGAAGTGACAATTGCATCTCTGTGTGCTAATGTATGGTATGGCAACTTGAAATGATGTACTTAGTGTGTGTGACGTTCTATGTTGGTTTTCGGGTTTTCCTGAAGCGTAAGGTTATGTGTAACTCTATAAATAGCCTTGATTTTCTTTATGTAACTAATGTTGGAGTAAAGCGTGCTTCTGGTAGATTCTCACTCTTTTACTGTATGTTAAAATTGCAGTTTAGAGTTAGTTTAAGGTTATTAAAAACTGGATATGAAATAATCATAGTTTTCGCGTTCCATTTGACAGACTTATCAGGAATAACCAATCGCATCAGGGTAGTAGTTCGTAAATTCACTGAAGACGAAAATATCGAAATGCAATTATAACACTACCAAACTATTATGTCATGTATAAATTTCATTTTAATCTATAAGGTAGTTTTAGGTCGTTGACAAGAAACTCTGTTTAAACGAACTGAGTTTCATGTTAGTCACCCCTCTTCAACAAGGCATTAATTCAAATTTGATGAAACGAAACTTTCTTGTCAAATTTATTCATCAACTCCCCTCTCAACTAAACAACATCAAATCCTAGTACACATTATATGAAGTTATTTATTTATACACTGAAATTTGGTTGTTAGAACTCAATCGATACGTCATGACAAGTGTAGATCAACTGTGTCGAGTAGGAGGCAGTTATTCATTGAAAACTATGGTAGATGGTTACGAAATAGTGTGGATTGATTGAAGTTAGTTATTAAAACATTGTTGGTTTTCGAATCTATGGTCAGGGGGTTAGTCGTTCACACACAAGACCGTAGGTCCTGTGATAGCTCTCCGTGTGTGGACTTCTAAATACACACTGTTGATGAGTTCCATGCTAGAACAAACCGGCCGATCAAAGCTTCCAGGCTTTTAGTGAAGGTTCCATATTGTGTGATTCATGGTTTCAATACACCATCATAAGACTATCGACTACTAACATGATATTACTTACTATTCAGCAATCAATCATGTTTACACTTCATGTATTTATTATTTGATATTTTATTCAATGAAATGTTCTCCTGTTTTTCTCTCCTTTGAAAATCAATATTATTAGCTACTGGTTCTTATGTTAGTGTCACTCAATTATCTGAAGTAACCAATGGACGTATTGGCCAACTACCGAATGGTACATTATTACTATCCAATGTTGATGAATCAGATCCAAGAGAATTTTTATGTTTTCTTAAACCAGGTAGATTATCAACTGCTGCACAACGTAGTTCAGCAGTTAATTTAGAAGTACATAGTAAGTGAACTTGTTCTTTCTTTTTAGTTGTTTTGAAATGTTCTAATCGATTTGTGTATATTCAAGGTTTAAATTTATATAAATTGCATCCAATCAAATTGCTCGATTGAATTTTTTTTCAAATGAACATCAATCTGACAACATAAGCTGATTGGCTGATAGTGTAAGATTGCTATTTGTTAATTGGTTGATTTTGATATGATGTTTTCATGTCATAAGAAAAAAGAACTATGAATACACATGGGTTCTGTCTACGTGTCTACGTGAAAAGTATCCGTGTCTTCTTCTACTAGTGTTCAAGTTACTGCAGTGTAGATTAAGTCTGAGGTCATTGGAAGTGTCTAGAGAACTAGACCTTCACTTCAGTACCAGTAAGTATTTAGGCGAAAAAGAAAAATTGTCTCGTCACTGTTTTCTATATAATATATGGAGTAGTGATCGAGTTGTTAGAACGCTTCAAATTTTAGCTGCAATTTCAAAAATCACCAAAGAAAGGAGATCTCAGCAAGTGTGAGAACTAACTACACAGGCATCACTCTTCTCTCAATACCAGGCAAAGTCTTCAACAGGGTATTGTTAAACAGAATGAAGGACTTCCTTCGTAGACGTCCAACTTCGAGATCAACAGGCCGGATTTCGTAAGGATCGATCATGTACTGACGTATTGCTACATTACGGATCATTGTGGAACAATCAATTGAATGGAACTCACCACTCTACATCAACTTCATTGACTGTGAGAAAGCATTCGATAGCGCGGACATGAAAACACTATGGAGGCTTATTCGATACTACGGTGTGCCTGAGAAAATAGTCAACATCATACAGAATTCTTATGATGGATTCAACTTCAAAACCGTGCACGGAGGTCAGCTGGCAGACTCCTTCGAGGTGAAGACCGGTGTCAGACAAGGTTGCTTACTCTCACCCTTCCTCTTCCTCCTGATGCTCGACTGGATTATGAAGACGTCGACATCTGAAGGGAAGCCCGGTATTCAGTGGACAGCTAAGACGCAGCTGTAAGATTTGGACTTCGCAGATGACTTGACTCTTCTGTCCCACATGCAACAATAAATGCAAGAGAAGACGACCAGTGTAGCAGCAGCCTCAGCAGCAGCAGTAGGTCTCAACATACATAAAGGAAAAAGCGAAATTCTCAGATGCAACACAACATGCACCAACCAAATCACTCTCCTTGGAGTACGTTAACACCTTTACATATCTGGGCAGCATCATCGACGAGAAAGGTGGATCCGATGCAGATGTGAGGCCGCGGATTAGCAAAGAAAGGGCTGCATTTCTACAGTTGAAAAATATCTGGAACTCCAAACAACTTTCAACCAAAACTAAAATCAGCATTTTCAATACAAATGTGAAGACAGTTCTGCTGTATGGAGCGGAAACTTGGAGAACTACGAAAGGCATCATCCACAAGATACAAGTGTTTATTAACAGTTGTCTATGCAAAATACTTCGGATTCGTTGGCCAGACACCATCAGCAACAACCTACTGTGGGAGAGAACAAACCAGATTCCAGTGGAGGAGGAAACCAGGAAGAAGCGATGGAAGTAGATAGGACACACACTATGAAAAGCACCTAACTGCGTCACGAGACAAGCCCTCACATGGAACCCTCAAGGCAAAAGGAAAAGAGGAAGGCCAAGGAACACATTACGCAGAGAAATAGAGAAAGACATGAGAAGAATGAACAAAAGCTGGAAAGAACTAGAAAGGGAAGCTCAGGACAGAGTTGGTTGGAGAAAACTGGTAGGCGGCCTATGCTCCATTGGGGGTAAGAGGCGTAAGTAAGTAAGTAAGTCAAAAGTTGAGACTGCTGCACTCTCAGTATCTACTGTTTGTTTGGGTAACCGTATAATATTTCTTGACTTACTTATCATAGTATACACTCATGACCCCCATCTAGAGTCAGACTTATGACTTCAAGGTCAAAGAATGAAACAAACATTTTCTTTCCTAAATGTTGACAGTAGGGGACTGCATTTGATCCAGTCTCTGTTGACATGTGCATATTTTAATCGGGTACCTTGTTAT